CAGTTTGAGAGACTGTATCTAATTTATGTGGAAAATAACAAACGCAAGCAAACCCAAAACCCTTTAATATACTGTGGATACCTGTTTGTTGCCTGTATATATCATTGTTGGATTATTTTCTGGTTTATTTTCCCCTTTTGTCGTTTCTTTGGTACTCTGGATTTTTGTCATTTTTGTGTGCACTTGTATAAATTCTTCACTGTGGACAATCTTTCTGGCACTGTAAATAAATTCCACCTTGCACGAAAGTGCTTTCTTTTCTTCTTTTTTTTTTGTTTCCCCGAAGCAATCTGGAAGGTTAGGCTTTAGATGAAGCTTAATTAGTCTCTGGTTCAGCTATTATGCTCTCGGCGGTCTTGTCAGGCCACACAGTAATGTTGAGCTGACGTGGGGTCAATAAGAATCCGATTGTTTTCGACCAGTTGAGTCAGTGGGAAGCTGGAGTGATGGTACTGATGGGTTTCTAATGTCCTTTTGCATAATACCTAGCCAGCTCTGTGATTTGTGTAAACACCATATAATCTTTCACAAAGAGAGAAGACTTAAAGGGATGGTTCATCCAAAACAAACTGACATTTAATTTATTATTTAGCGAAAATCCTGAGCATGTGTGCACTTGTGTTCTTTTTCTGGCCGAGCCAGAGTGAACCGCTACTCTCACGTATTCTCACAAACGACAAGGCCAGGATTTCGCTAAATAATACATTCCGGCTTGTTTTTCATTGTGTGTCTTCAGAACACTTGAAATATACAGCACAAGTCACGTGGGAGTTTGTTGATGATACTGTTGCATTATTTTTTTAAAGAAAGTTGGTCTCCGTTCACTGCTGTTATATGTTTGAACACAAGCAAGACATTATTTTTTAAATATCTCCTTTTGTGATCCAGAAAAAAGGCATTATGCATTAGAATAACACCAGGGTGAGTAAATACTCCAATGACTGAATTTTCATTATTTAGGTGAACTATATCTGTAAGTCTGACCTCCAAAAAAAGAAAAAAAGGGTTTTGATGACTTATCCTCAACTACGAATTCATCACAATGCAAGCGGGTGATTTATTCTTCTACACAGGTCAAGAAATCTTTCCACGTGGGTTAATTTTATTCCAAAAGGTTTACAAAGTCAAATAACGTGGTTAAAGATATAACAGGAAGTCAAGAAACAAAAAAGTTGTGTCCAAATGAGAAGAAAGAAATTTTGTACATAAACATTCAATTCTTTTAAACATCAAAATAATTAAAGAACACCAATGTGTGCCAACAATTCAATAATTCAACAAGAACAACATGAATGGCTCCAACAAGGGCTGTGGTTGGATTAGTAGTTCATGTAAATCATGCTAATGAGACTAGTCAGAATTGGAGGCTGTGCAGCCTGTTCTCATTTCACAATGTATACATAAATACGACATGCTTTATAAGAACATTTTGGACCGTTAGGCATGGATTTTTTCTAATGTAGTCATGGGGGCTGATCTCTAAGCAGGTTAATTGGATGTTTAAATCTGTAGCCTTGGGGTGACTGTATGGAAAGGTTTGTGAAACACAATATACTTCAACTCAACATCAATGACAAGACGGAAAGTCTGGCAGATAAAAGCACTGTCAATACAGTGTGTATCAGACACTTCATGTGAAGTAATGAGTTCATGTTTTATCAGGTCCAGTATTTTTAGAGATCAGTCAGAGAGATTAAGAAAGAAAGAGCATGTCAGAAGGGGGAATCAGACCTGGTGAAGGCAAAGTAAAAACCTTAGAAATAATCAAAGAAAGGCAAGGCAGCACATAGTGCTCAATACAGTTTGTTTTTGAGTCTCTTTTGCTCATCAAGGCTGCATGTATTTGATCAAAAAATCTGTTACAGTTTAAAATAATGTTTTCTATTTGAGCACATTTTAAAATGTAATTTATTCATGTGATGCAAACAAAGCTGAGTTTTCAGCAGCCAGTGTCACATGATCCTTATGTCACATGATCCACATGGTCTTATTATTATCAATCTTGAAAACCGTTTGATATTTGATTATTTTCTCTGGAAACCGATTTTAAATAGTTTTTCATAGAAATATTTTGTAACAAAGCAAATGTTTTACTGTTACTTGATCAACGTAATGCATCCTTGCTGAATAAAAGTATTAAGTTCTTTAAAAATAAATCTTACTGACACCAAACCTTTGAAAGGTAACCATCTAATAAACAAATCCTGTCTTAAAGTCATGTCAGAATGATCATTTTTATAAGCTAAGTGCACATCAGTGCCATCACTATTATCTTTATTGTCAGCGAAGATGCTCAGAAATTGATTTTGGTCAGTATTAAGTTTTAATTGTCAGAAGCTTTGGCAGAAAATACCAGTCGTTTAGCTTAAGTTATGAGCTAAATGGCTTGGGTGAAAGAACTACTATTATTGACTACTTACTATACTATACTACCGTTATCTAACGCACATGCTCTAAACTGTCCTTCAGTTCACTGAACTGAATTACATGGAAATTAAATTAAACCGAACTTAGTTTCTAGGAGCAGCACTGACTACCTTAAGGAGGTACAGGATCAATAATTGCAAACACAGACATACACACTACATACACACATTCGTTCACAAGCATACACTAATTAGCTTGCAATGTATATCTGCTAGCAAAGTAATGAAACTTTTTTTAAATCTCAGACCCACAGCATAAGGCAAAAATCACATTCCATTTTCCTCAGAACCAAAATGTACAGCACAAAACATTTGCATTCAGCTCTACATCTGTTCCTGAAGGCAAAAATGACTTGTTAAGCTGTTGATTTTGCACGGATTTGAGATCATTACTGAAACTGTGCCATTAGAGAGCTGGCATTTAATTCGACTGGTACACCAAACCTCACTAAATATGGTAATAATTTAGCTAGCAGTTGGAAGCAGTTTATTGATTTAGGTGTTGATGTAGATGTGTTTCTGCCATCCATTTGTGTACTTATGAATATTCCTATTTGTTTAATTAGTGTAACTGGGCAGCAGGGGAGGGAGTCAGGGCCAAAATCGAGAGAGGCTAAAGCCTGTGTTTTATTGGATTTAATTTACTTTATTTTATTTTTTGCCAGTTGTATATTTAAAGCAGACAGGGAGAGAGAGTGCAAACAAATTTCACTGCCAAAAGCTCCACAACCACATACACAACAAGCCCTATTTTATACTGATTTGGCCTCTCATAAATGTGCTGACAATAAATTAAAAAAATATATATAAATTATACCCTGTAGGTTTTCAAGCTTGCAAATGAATTCAAAGTAATAATTTGTGTATTAAATAGAACTACACTTGCAAAAACCTTTGAAATTAGCCTGATTACTGCTGAAAATAGACGAAAACATAAGATGAATCTCCATATAGTGCTGCTTTTTACATTAGAGCAGACAAAAATGGTCATTAACCAAAGTTATGAATATTCATGGTGCACATCTGTAGTAGACGGTGCAGGTTCTGCCAACAGAGGTCACACACAAAATTAAAATAATTTCTCACTGAGCTCAGCCAAACTGACTTTCGCCATGACTAGCTCAAAGGTCAACAACAGATATCATCCATCTTTTACAAGCAGGCTGGACCGTCAGGCTCCTGTGTGTGTGTTTGTGTGCACTGCACATAAACACATTTCCAATTCCATCTGAGCATAATCAACAAAACAAGACAGTACCAGTTCAGAATATTTCTTAGCCATATCATCTGACATGATTCAGTCATCGCTTATGCATGTACGTATAATTAGATGACAGGTTAGTCAAAGCCCATACTGTATTTAGCACTGCATATAGCCATTAAGTTCAGGTAAGTGGGTAGCAATAGCAACAGTGTGGCTGATTGACAAATTACCAATGACAACACATTATTTAACATTGTATTGTAGCTTTACATATCAAAAGTATATTAAGAAACGTTTGTAAAAAAAAAAAAAAAAAAAACCTATCTGGAAAAGTCAAACCAATCCTCAAAGGGCCAAGCACTGAAAACAGTGAAAACACAGTCCTTTAGAGAAATATATAGTGTTTCTCTCATTAATCTGAAAAAAAGTCATAAAACAATATTGAAGTGAATTATCTGTCACTAAATTTCTGACAAAATGTCACTTGCGGTCAATGTGGCGACTACAGTGCTCAAACAGAGGAAATATTGAAAAAATGATGTGTGCATGTGATCTACCTTGGCTGAGAAACTTTTGGCACCCTGAACAAACTTCGCACATTTCCTCTCATACAATGTGTGTGATTGAATGATGGCGCTGTTTTAATGTTCAAAGAACAACAAACAAGAGGAAATGTTTTACTACACCTCTGTATCACCATACTGACATGAAAAACACTGCTGCCCATCCGTTCAGTGTGTGTATGTGTGTGTAAAAGTCAACTGTCCTGAAGAGCTCTTCTATAGAACCATTCAAAATTCTTGTTTCACATCACAATCATCACGAATAACAATGTTTTAAATGAAGAACAAGCATATCTAAACTTTGAACACATCTAAAACATGCCTTAAACTAAAAAGTGAGCTGCTGACCTTAAAGAAATTCAAATCCGTAAATAAATGAACAGCGCCATGCATTGACCTTGACTAGATGAGCCAAATAACGTCATATGTCTCAAAGCAGCCAAGGGGAAAAGTGTGTGAGCGTGTGTGTGTTCGCCCAGAGACGCCAAGTCACACATAACTCACTCATCTTGTTCATATAACAATTTTGGGTGTTACCTCAGAAACACAAGCCTTGAATTTTCCATCCATCACTTTCCTAAGACACAGTCTAATCCACATCCTTAATTTATGTCATTTCACCTCTCACTTTAATGAAGGAATGATCAAAAAAGTTGTAGAACTCATTTACCGCATTGTTAGGCACAATAAGAGCAGGTTGTTCCACAATTGCTGCTGTTAATGCAGTTGAGGAAAGGTTTCAGAGGTCACTGGGAAATTAGGCTCTGACAGGCAGAATGATTAGACATGCTAGAGATTACCTGTCTCTCTCTCTCTCTCCCTTTATCTGTGTGGTGTCAGTGTTCTGGCACATTGTGCTGTTATGCTGCTGATGAACCAACACATGTTGACCTCATCTGTCCTGTCTAGTATTACCTATAATTGGAGGAGGAGAAAACAAGTGAGGAGAGCATTAGTTTTCATATTGGAATCAAGATGACAAAATGACGTCATAGAAATATAGGCCCTTTTCAACATTTATTTAACCCTCTATGGTACGCATTGTTATTTAGGAAATACTGACATCACAATTATTGTTGTATACTGTACACACAGTATGCACAAATATAATGCAAAGTATCAAATATACTTTAACCTTTTTTTATAGAACATAGCTGTGCAGAGTTTTCTTTCTTCAAAGCATTAAACATATATCATAATTATATTATTTTTGCATAATTATTTAGAAAATAACTAATGAGGAAATCTTACATGCAAAGGCAAAAGACCATAGCTTCGATTATTGTCGAAAAGGAGTTATTCATATTTTGGGGACATTCAAGACATCCTTTATCATGTGCATAAGTATCTTGAGTCAATTTTGTTTTTTTTCCGAGAAAATAATGGGTTGTCTTAACCATAATTTCGAAAAGCCCCGGAGAAATCAAGGCAGAACACCGTATAATACCAGTTACTGCTCTTTGATTTTGTTTGGAATGCTCAAAATGAGTTGCGTACCCTTACCCTAAACTTACCCTTAAAACAATGTAAATATATTTTTGGTAGCACAATCTCATAGGTAGCATGTTTCATCGGTATACCGGCTTGGAGTTATACGGTGTTCTGCCTTTTTTTTTCTGTCCATTAAAGTCTCCCGCATTTTTATTATTGTGTAACTTGTATACTTTCACACATCTGATCTATCACTGAAGCACTTTATTAGACAAATGAATTAGATAGATTGCGATCTCCCAAACAGCTCCATATAACAAAGCACTCTAAAGACTAGATACCTTGGCAGCAATACGTAATCGTGAATAAGCTTTAAAGATTTTGTATTTTTTAGTAATGCAGATTATTCACCAGGCTGTCACTTCTAGTTGGACGCGTGTGGACTCAAATGCTGTAGCATGTAGCATGATCAATCATAAAATCAGTACTAACAGTTCGCAATTAAATCCATATCCTACCTTTTCTTGTAACCCGATAAAATCAATCCATGGCGATGAACGTCATCGGAGATGTTTAATCCACAAGCATTCTGAGCATTCCTGCTTGCTGTTGTTCACATTAATTCACAAGTCGTTCTTTTAGGTTAGGCTATTTCATTCAAGTCAATATAAAATCAATTATGCTATTTCTAGCATTCTTTTACGTTACTGAGCATAGCAAATAAATTGGTTGCAAAACGGTATCCACTCACATGTTTAACTTTTAGTCTGCTTGTTACGGTCAAAAAAACAACACATTACTATATGTCTATACTATACATTACTATACAGTCACATTACTATATGCAATAGCCTATATGAGATAGCCCATGATCACTAGATTTATACAAGTGTTACTATAACGATTTTGTAAATGGTGATCAGCAACCAAATATTGATAATGTGGAAGTTACTGCCTTTTGCCTTGGTATGACTTCTCACTTTTTGCAGACACTTTTCAAGGACTACAACGAATGGCTCGTTTGGACTACAGCATTTTTTTTTTTACGGGTTTTTGTGATGTCACAAAGCGGCCCATTAGAATATCATTAAAATAATTCCGGCCTTATGGAAATTCGAATGGTTGGGGGGGTGGGGAGGGGCGAGGTCATGGTTACAACGCTTGGTTGAGTTCATCAGACAAGACGACGACGAAGAAGAAGAGCTGCTGTATTGTCAAGATTTCACAAGTTATTACACATGCACCTGAATAATTAGGTATGTACATATGTATGTTACAATTAGGAAAACGTTTTTTATAAATAGCTGACAGTACAATACTGGACAATGACGTGATCTGCAGAATTTACACTTTAATTATGAGACTTATGGTATAAATAAATTCAACTGTATAACAGCTTTACTGCAATTCATGTTATAATGTTAGAATTAAAGAACAATAAACATGAAACATATATTCATACATATCATACATAGTAAATGCAGTTATTTTTAAGCGGTTGTTGACATCCTATCTAAAACATGATTTAGCCCAAAAAAATTTAAAAACACCAACAATAACGTTACCACTCTAATATGTCTTGCAATATCCATGCGTGCAAAGGTTCTGCGCGATCCTCTTTTTCAATATTCACAGGGTCTGAATCCGGCTCAAATTGCTATGGCGATATTGACGCCATACTTAACTATACCAGAGCAGACGGAACTTGCTGCTTTGGCAAGGGGCGGGGCAGTACTGAAACACAGTCTAAGCTGTTCGCCAATCACAACGCACTGGGACAGCTAACCAATCACAACACATTTAGTTTTTCGGAAGGCGGGCCTTTATCAAACCCTGAACTAATCGAGCCATTTGTGCCAGGCTGGGGAGAAAGGTATTGTAATCATGTAAAATATATGAAAAATAACACCAAGCATGAGAGCATGTTCTAGTACACCCCCAAAACAAAATTAAGACTTTGTAAAAGAGCATAATAGGACCCCTTTAAGGAAAATTATATTTGCAGAAATGGTAAGAGATTTGATTCAGGGGAAGATGTCATATGTAACACAAATTAAAAATAAGAATATGTGGGATGAAAATTATGTCTTTGGTTTTGACATACATCTTTCAAAAATTGTCCAGTGCAAAAATTATATATTTTTTTAAATCCCTCCTTCCCTCCCAGCTAAATTTCCACATTGATCCAGTCTGGTTACTCTAAGTGCTTTGATGCAGGTCTAAATGATATACAGCCATGCTGTTGACCAGCAAAACTGAACTGATCAACCACAGAACATTAGCAAACAGCACTAAATATTTTGTGATATAGTGCGTGTTTTGTGGAGAGAAAGAAATATTGCCTGTCAATTGCATGACGCAAGTGTGATGAGTGTTCTGAATGCTCATGTGCTTCATTTGCTCTTGATGGCCAATAACATCAGCAACAAACATTTAGCCGTTTAAAACCAAGTCCTCTGTAACATCAGCCATTACTGGACAAGGACAACACAACAACACACAGCCGTACACACACATACATGAACACTAGAAGACTAATACTGTATAATCCAGACATCCACTCTCATGTGCACACTGTTTTCTCATTAAAGCCATATATTTTACTACTCTCATAAAGCGTCTTAGATGTGACCTTGGGAAGGACTGTTCAGAAATGATGTAATATTAGTTCCAATAAAAGGTGTGGAGAATACATTCATAAAGACTTCCAACACATATTAATAGTAAAATGTGCCATTAAAACAACGGGCAGATTTTCACAAAGTGCGCTTTGTCCTCTGAGGGCTAAGGCAATCTATTAAAGAACAAATGTTCAGATGTTGAATGTTCACATGTCCTTGACAAATGAAAAGACAGAGTGTGGATTTTAACACAGATTCAAGAGTCCTTCCATACCAGACTAAATGTACAAAAGTATTCTTAAGCATTTAGTGTGATGATATGCCAACACAAAAGAAGATATACTGCAGAATGTCCTTTTGCTCTTCTCCATACTACAAAAACAGATGGTGACTGGTGCACTCAAGCTCCAAATGTGACAATAAAGCACTATGAAAAGCACCATAAAATAATCCAGACTGGTATAAAGTAACTAAATAGTAATTCAATTGGAATTGGAATTGGATTTGAGAAAACGACAGAGAGGGTGCAGAAATATATGAGTATTGCAGCAGCAGGACTGATGTTCAAATGAAGTGAAGTGAAATGAGAAGAATGCAGCATTGAGTGATGCACAGGAAGTGGATTGCATTCTGTTCTCTGCTTCCACAGACTGATAGCTGAGAGGCAGGTATCCATCTTCACCTGTCTTCATTTAAACTCACACCTGATTGCCTGTAGCAACATCCTATATGAATTACCCATCTGTGCATGTCTATGTTCAGAATTTGTGAATTGGCTTCCTTTATTTTTCATGTTGGAATTTAAATCGAATTAACCAATTCAACAAAGTCAAAGAAATTCAAAACAATTATAGGTGGGGTAGGCGATTTCTGGTAGCCAATGTTGACATTTGAAATCACCAAAGCAAACACGCCCCTACCCCAAAAGGGTCTTCCCCCTATTTTGATAGCTCCGCCTCTCACATACGTACGCAACCCAGGCAACGATTAGTTCAGTGAAACAAAGCAACCTCGGCGTCCGATCGCAGGTCTTCCGCTCCTTGAGTTTTCTCCAGCACTGGAAAGCTAATCTGATATTTACACGGGTCCTACTTCTTGCCTTAAGCCTTCTTTTGTTCCGCAGACGTTTTCCTCTTTTGTTTTTTATCCGCCATCTCTATCTTTCTGACGCTCGGCTCGGCTAATGTCCGTCCTGTGCACTGAACGCTATCTCCTCCACATCATGAGTAGACATGCCCCTTACTGCTGATTGGCTACAAGTTTGTTTTGCTAGTCGGCCCGAAACAGTTTTCTAAAGCGTTTTTGAAAAATCGCTTACCCCACCTTTAATGTCATTCTAGCAGAAAAAGTGTTGCTCCACCTTGGACAGTAAAAGGAATGTTATTTAATTATATACATTTTATATACTGATAGCACTACCATTTTCAGTACTAATAGTTCAATTTTGGTAACACTTTAGAGTTTTCCCTCAATAAACTCCTAATTTCCTGCTTATGGCTTATCATTTTACCTTGACTAAAATAAACCAGCTTCATTTTTTTTCCTCTCTCTAAGACCACATTTACACGACTAATAGGTCCTATTATTCAGCCTTGTAATGCTATTGGATACTAGATTTTAAAAACAAGCTTGTTTACCTGGCCATGAACAATCTGCAAGCTTCCCTTGAAGCACATCATCTTGTTTTACTGGACTGGACAAATCAACATTCAAACAAGTAAAATGCCTTATATATGTTTTACTGTGATTAGTAAAATGTCTAGATTATGTAGATATTAAGGTATTGTCGAATGGTTTGATCATTTTAGATTATGAGCTTATGTCAGCGTTGTAATTTTGCAACATTGGGTACAATAGAAAAAT